AATAACCTTAAGCACCTGCTTGATTGGATGCAGATGGATGGACCACGGTATTTCGTGGCCTTGCCAGCTAATCAAAGCGATCTATGTATGTTGGCCATTCTTGAAGAGAAGTACCGATAAGTATTTGATAATGGACTATGAGAGAGTTCATTTCCCCCTGATATTCTCACTGTATACAACAATGGGAATGCCGTCTGATATTTTGGCATATATACAAGAGAGATCAATTTCCATGGCCGTTCTGTGTAACATTCTTGTTATTTGACAATTTTTTTTTTAATTTTTCATAAAAAAATATCATGGATAGTTGGGGTGGCACGTGTTTTGTTTTTGCTACCCTCTGATCAAATTATAGTTTAACACAGAAGATGGAAGTATTTATATGATTCTCTTGTGCATTTTTAAGGAATAAAGATCAACTTGCAAATAAATATATGTATCTCACAACATACTATAATTGCACGACACACTTCAACATATGATCAACTTAGGGGTGTTAATTGAGAGGATATTTCTAGTTGTATATAATTTGGGTTACATAAGGGTATTCATCTCCTCACATGGGGGTGAGACCCACATGAATAAAAAATATTTTCTTTAAGTGGGTCCCACCCCTATGTGAGGGGCTGGATACCCTTATGTAACCAAAATTATGTACCACTAGCAATGCCCTTTTTTTAACCACACATTTTTCATCAATTGCATTTATAGAAGAAAAAAATGGTGCTCAAACAGGCCCAATTGCACGAAAAGATCATATACTTTACAATCACATTTATGTTTATAATTTTTTTCGTTGCATTCTTATTCTCAACTTAACACAAATTGTTCATGATGAAGATGATAATTTCTATAAAACAAAATTGATATGAAACAAAAAGACTTATTTACCCCTAATATTTATAAATAAGCCAAAGAAAAGAAAATGAGACTAAGAGTATGTTTGAACCTTAGTTTTTTTTGGTCCAAAATGCATTTTAAATAAAAAATGTGTATTTAAAAAATAAGGAAAACTTTTGAATTTTCATTTAATATTATTTTATTAAAGAATATGTGGTTGAAAATAAGACAAAAATATTTTAAAAATAATGATGCCCAAATAAAGGCTATGTCCCTGGTTTTTAAGCACGCTAACTATTTTTAGACGAAAACCATGTTTAAGGATAAGATTTGATAATTAATGAGAGATTAAAAGATAAGAATATATGCTGAACAGAGTTAAAGATCTAAGCATGACGATAAATAAATGTGAAGACCTTTAATAAAATTAAAATGTAATGTATCTATAAAAAAATATAGTGGCAGAAACAACACATAGCTAAACGCCTTCCCCCCTTACTTACAAGGATGATTTGAGCAGGGAACACGGGTGATTACTGGATATAGAATAACATATTACCCCGAGAGCTGCTATTTGTACCGGGGGGGTGCACAACCCCCCTGACCAGCCCCCTCACAATAGGGGGGCCCACAAAAACTGATTACAAACTCTTACGCATTGAAACTTGGCTCTACACTGCGAAATCTTACTTTTAAGTAAAAATAAAGAGTAATGTTATTTAACTCCAATGAGATTACAAACAAAGTCTAGTTGGTATTTATGTAACATTAAATGATAAATGAAATTAAATAAGCACTTTCATTTAGCATATCCTTTAGCGTAACCTAAACTGGGGTTGTAATCCCAGTAAAGCAACATAGCATTACTCAAAAATAAATCCTAACTACTCGTATTGGTGACACAATCCATTAGTTCAGAAAAGGAAAACAACCTTACTTGTTAATGAAATTGCAGATTGTAATAGCAAGAGAATTAAGAGGTGCAGATATAGAGTTCCACCCGAAATAAAAAAGTATAAGGTGGGAAAACAGGCAAAACACTATATATCTCAAAAACAAAAACCAAAATTAGCAATGCTTGATAAACAAACCAAATAATTTACATACATTTGGTTCCCTACAAAAAATGTTTGTTACCTTGCTTCTTAAGAGCATTTAGGGTCCATGAACTTGGTGCAGTTGGGGTGAATGCAGAATAGAAGTGAAGCGGCTCAGCTCCACAAAGGCTACTTCTTCATTTTCTGTTGTGCTGAAAGAAACTGAAGTATCCAAGCTCCCTCTGGGAATTCTTATCGCACTTTCTTCAAGAGGGCTTTGATTAGCAATTAGTGAAATGGTGTCATTGTACAAGTCACTAGTCCTCCTAGACTCCATATCTCTTTGTACAGTCTGTAAGGCTAAGGAATCCGCAACAGGAAGGTATACGAGTGTGCAGATACCCACCCCCGCACAACATAGAAGAGAAAGAAAAGCCAAGAATGCAATGGCATCAAACAAAAGTTTTTCTGGCTCAAATAGGACCGATAAACCAAGAAGAGTAACTCTCAAGGGAAGAAAACTAGAAAAAGAAAAGATTAATGCATACACTCTCTTTTGCAAACCCTTATTGATTACTAAATGAAGAATTCGCCTCCCAAGCCAGAACAAGTATGTAGTTAGAATGGTGGCAAAAAGTCCAAGGAAGATGGTACTCAACAGCGGGTAAGTGCAGAGGGCAACATTATCATTGTCCTTGGTCTTAGAAGCAGCAGCTGCTTTGATGAAATAAGGAGGTAGTTTGTGCCAGCGATTCTCCTTGTTGTACTCTGGTCCAATTAAAATAACAACGAGCTGAAGAACAAACATAGGGAGACAACATAGAAGAACATAACCAGCTGTTTTTGCATTCCATTTCGGGCTTAAAGTTCCAGACCTCTGTAAAGATGCACGGAGAAGAAATATGAGGGTGAGAAACAGACACGGTTCTGCAAACCCTAGGTTTGAAACAATGTAGTATTTGCAAACCGTCTCCTGCCATTTCAAATTGAGGGCATCCAAGACTCTACCGTCGCGTCTTAATAGATTCAACCGAAGAATCTCTCCAGTGCCCCACCAGACTGCAAAAAAGATTAACGAAATTCTGATGATCCAAGGAGCACTAAAATAATTGAGCCGAATATGACCTTGACCGTGGACACGATTGTGGAAGTAAAATGAATAAATGGTGCAAAATAAACCCAGAAGAACCAGAGCACCAACAAGGCAAATCGTCACCACACCAAGTGCATCAGCAACAAATCTCGTCAGGGGCATTAGCTAATTCACAGATTCCACGCATGCTCTCCACCAGCATAGACACAAGAAAATCTTCTATTGAGTACAGACTAGCTTGGAACACCAATTAGATACTCCAGTCCACTTTCTGATCTTGCGATTCCAAATTTAAGTTTCAAACCCACTTACAAATAATATCATAACTTCGAAGAATAATTTTCATAACCAAGCAAGAAGGATCTTGTCAGACAACCTACAATATAAACAGTTATATTATAATATATTAGTTATGCGTCCAAAAGCAAGAGATGGCTAGGCGCAGCTTTAGGGAATGAACTGATGTAAAGAGAATGCATTTAACTATAATTGACATTGATACTAACTGTAAACAGACAACTGTGTGCTATGTTTGCATATGTGTGCGTGTAAAAGTGTGAGCGTGTGTGTACATGCGAGAGGGATATAGAGAGAGTAGCACCAAAAAGGATCCACAGTAAAAGAACTGATAAAATCCAGCTGTTAGTGTCATAGATAAAAAGCATTTTTCCCTACTTAATAGTGAGGAAATTACAGAATAAAAATGCAGAAAATGATCAACAAGATAATCTCCCTTAATGAAAGCATGGAAAACATGAAAAGTCAATAATTTTTTCCAAAACTAATCTAAGGTCAAAATCTTATTAATTATTAGTTCACAAACAACATGGTTGGTGGTTAGGTGAGTGAAGTGCGGTAGACTAACCAAGGCATGGGGGGATTGACACAGAGCACACTGCACACTTATCAGAGAAGAGCACGAACCAATCAGTGGAACAAAAATCTACAGGAATGCATAATATGCGCAAATTCGGTGATCCCAGCATTTTAAAGAAAATTTCAGCAAAAAGAATCAATTAATTTCAGCATTTACTTGAGCCACAAATTTGATATGTATTTCAGCAACTAGTCAACATTCAGGCCAAAAAACAGAACCATATAGAAAACATAATCCATGGTTCAAAAGAAATTGACCATAGATAACCCAAAACTAAATACGGCATGCTTTAAAGCACTTTGCAACTTCTTTTGCTTTATAGGAAGGTGGAACAATCGTAGAATCTAACATGAGCCCCCACGCAATTTTTACGAAATATGAACAAAAGAAAACAAATCTTACTAAATGTACGTGGTTTACAAGTCAACATAGAGCCTCACTTCCACATATAAACAAACGGCTACAATGGACTTGCCAAGAGACATACATGGGAACAATTGCACACGTCACCTAATAACGGACTTTCCAAGACAATTGGATACCTCTTGTATTGTTAACTTTCAGTCTTTCGCGTTACGTCACTGCCGAATGCCCATTGAATCCATTACACGTCATTACCAATTATCAATTTTTCTTATAACCTTTATTTAGTACATTTAGAACAATGTGGTAAAGATCCAATTTTCGGTCAGGGAAGCATTTGCTTCGCCAATAGAAGATATCTACTCTTTCTAGCTCTCGTCTTGACTACCATAGTGCTTCACAATAAATCCTGCTACTGCAGTCTCCTATAAATTCCCCCCACGTGTCAATAAACAAGTTGGGTGCTCTACAAAACCATAATAAATTGAGCTGTCATTAGTTTTTCATGGTAGGCTCGGTTTGCAGCAGTGCAGAACAACAAGCAAGAAGAACTCCAGCTGCCAGATTAAACACGCTAGTAGATTCAGGACTAACAGGTTAACCAAGTTGACATACCTGACGCTGCCAACTTTCTGACAATGTTTCAGTTTCTTTGCTGCAGAATTGCCCATTCTATCCACACCGAGAATCGTTTGGAACCAATTCAACCAAATCCATGACATATAATAATCTGTGAACCAATTCATCTGCCCCAGCTATCTAAAAAATTTCAAGACCTACAGATCTTATGTCTATGGAAGAACACTAACTCAAATATTTTTTATTTATGTTCATATACATGCACGTTCTTTCATCATGTAACTACAATCTCAAGCTCTGCTGAATTATTTTTGCCACAACAAAATAATGAACAAGAAAAAAAATAGATCAAATTGATGACGATACTGCCACGAAACCAAGTAGAAATTCATACAAAATAATTGATAGAGACTGAAAAAGACATTCTTTTGTCTTACGGTCACAAAAAGCATTAGCGGCAAAAATCTTGAAAACCCTTTAAAAAATGCACATCGATACCAGAATGCACAACAGAAAACCCTAACTCGAATTCACAGTAAAAGAAAAGGATTCTAAAGCCATGAAGTATGAAAATTGGATCAAGAAAAAGCTTACAACAACGATCTGGAGAGCTAAAACGCCGAATCTGAAAATCACCCAAAAACCCCTTAAGAAAGAAACGGATTAAGGAATTGAAGAAAAACAGTATTTTCAGATAGAGAAGCCGAAGAGGGTGAACAATGTGAGTAGAGTACGACAAGTCTTCGAAGAGAGAGGAGATCGGGGTTGGGGGGGGGGGGGGGGNTAGTGAAAATTATACTTTGATCCGCAATCTATTGTCTCGATGGTAAGTCTAGTTAGGATTGGGCTTGAAAACCACCGTTCGAAAAATCGACCGGACCCGAAACAGGTTGGATTTGGTCGGTTTAGGAATAAATCCGAGTTGGGTCAGGTAAAATAAATTTAAAATAATTGTAGGTTGGTCAGGTTTGGCCCAAAAACGACCCAATCCAATGAAACCCTATTATTCGGTTGGTCGGGTCATAAGTCTCTGAATTTTCATCTTTGCCTCTATTATGAAAATTGTTAAAGTTATGTTAAATTGTCATATATAATCATCATATGTCTAACTTTTCTAAATTTGATTTTGCTTCATAGCTTGAATTAATTTTCCAATAACTAAAGTGACATATATTTCCTTGAAGGTTATGTAAAAAAATTAACTAATGATTTATCTCGGTATGAATTGGTTGTGGGACATTAATGAAAAGTGAGTGACAAACTTGTTCATTTTAAAGTTAAAGAATCAATTATTGATAACTTTATTTTTGAATCCCCTATGATGTTTACAATTAAGCATTTGACATTGATTAAAATCAACATTTTAATCATGTTGAAGTCAATAATTAATTTTAACTGTAAATTTTATGGGATCCATAACTTTTTAACCACATATTTCATCAACTTGATCAAAATCTACCAAAATCTAATTTTAATCCCTATCAAACATGAATTAAATGTATATATACTTCTTGACCACTGAATTTGATTGGGACCAACGCTAAACTAATCTAGTCTCAACTCCTCTCCAAGCACATGTTACATGAGCACTTGTGCACACACGCGTTAGATGCGCAAGATTAGAGCATCTTCGAACACAAAAGGGCGGGAAAGCCGTCATTGGACGCTTAAGTCAGCCAAATGAGAAATATAGAAATGAGTTTGTATGTGGAGATAAATGTCAAGGTTGCAATTACCTTTACCCGGTTACCGTATGTGAGTATTTATAGGTAAATAAATAGATTTGAGGCTTTTCGCATGCTTGACACGTGGTCTTATTCTAATGGCTCATCGATCGAGTTTTAACATACGCCTCCACATCTTTTGCAATTTTTAACCAAAAATAAGACTTACTCGACAAGGCCAGCATTCTTTCAATTTCAAGATGTCCTGCCCATTGAGGATCAAATGTTCCTTGCAACAACTCGTGCCTCAGTCCCCAATAGCATGGACGTAAATCCGATCACCACGTGCATAAATGAGGCCATCATCGATCCAACGCCACCTAATCAGACCCTCACCGATTTCCTTTTACAGCTTAGGGTGGATAAAATCATTTGGGGATTTGTCACGAATCCTGTCGAGAAAGTTAGTCTTAATCAAACTTTGAATCCCTTATACAGCTAAGGAAAATCAAATTCGATCAAAAATTCTTGCCAACGGGCCTGCTTTGGTGAAACCTTTTTCTGTGTTTTGAAATAAGTGTTCACAACATTTGTGCATCAATATATAAAACTTGATACCTGGTAGATAATGATGACAAGTATCCAAGCGGTGCACTAACGTTGTCATTTCTCATGGATTTAATGTCATTGCTTAACGTCTTTCACTTTTATACTTTCAAATGCCACTAGGTGCCTTTCATGTACCAATACCCCGCCAATAACTCGGTCAGAAGCATCAATATGCACCTTAAACGATTTCTCAAAGTCCAGTAGTGCCAACATTGGTTCGATCGAAACCTCGTGTTTTTTCTTTCCTCCGTGGTCTTTCTTTCTCCTTCGCATAAGAACCAAGCTTGAAATTATTTATCTACGCAAACCTCCGCTTCCATATCCTGTAATAACTCAGTTTATGATTTTTTTAATCCACATTGATTAAATCATAGTGCCAGTAACGTGAAAATTTAAGTAGGAGGCCGTGAACTATTTTACTTTTACGTGAATTATTCGTGCGTGTCATAGGTGATGTTCGTGTCAATTAATTGTGAATTGGTGTCATGAATGGCGTCATGCATGGTACCACTGTTATATCTTGTGTAATGTTTTTTTTTTTTTCAAAGATATGTCTTAAAAAGTTTACTTATGAGTAAATCTACTAGTTTTATATATTTTAATGATTTCAGTTCAAAAATTAAAAATAAATAAGTTACTTATTCTAAAAGGGTTAATTTCACAAATGGTCACTGAAATTACGTCAAAATAAAAAAACGGTCACTGAAATTCCAAAAGTGCACTAACGGTCACTTTTGAGCATCGATTCCGATTACATAAGATGAAATTGGGAGAGGTTGGATGCTAATTGAAGAGGAGTGCTTTCGACCGGTAATAATTTCCAGCGGCTTAGGTGGTCGGAGCTCGCCAGAATTTGGTTGCAAAATCGCCGGAAAAAATTGAAGAGGAAGGCTTTTGTCAAATTTGCGATACACGTCCTCATCTTTCACGCTTCAACTCATTTGGTCCTTCAGTGACCATTCTTGATACCGGGTGATACTTCAGTGACCGGTAGTTCAATTTTGGAACTTCAGTGACCGTTTTGTTATTTTGACGTAACTTCAGTAACCATTTGTGAAATTAACCCTATT